TTATTTTATTATATATAATAAAATAAAATGTTTTATTATATATGCTATAATATAAAGTAAAATAGTATATATTACAATATATGCTATTGATATATAGTGATGCATTGTAATATATATATATTACTATCATAAGACAAAAGAGGAAGATGAAATCGAGCTATACAGGAGAAACACTTTCACATTCAGTGAAATATGTGTGTGTGTGTGTGTATTACATCTATATATGTCACAAACTCAATAATCTTACGTTAAAATTATCACTTTCTATAATTGTTTGCCTATTAAAATTATACATGTTTGCTTATATTATCCTTTGTTAATTTGTTATATTATCCTATATACTCACTATTTCTGGTCCTCCTCATTTGTTCATGTTGATTTTAGTTATCTGTCTTAGTCTATTTTGCATTGCTATAAAGAAATATATGAGGCTGGGTGATTTTCAAAGAAAAGAGATATATTTGCCTCACAGTTCTGCAGGCTATACAAGAAGCATAGCACCAGCATCTGCTTCTTGTGAGGGCTTCGGAAAAGCTTTCATGCAAAGTGGCTTGTCACATAGTGAGAGAGGGAGCAACAAAGGGGGGAGAAAGGTGTTAGATTCTTTGTAACAATCAGTTCTTGAGTTCTTACATGAACTAATAAAACAAGAACTTATTCATTATTAGAAGAAAGGCACAAAGCCATTCATGTGGAATTCACCCCCATGACTCAAACTCCTCCTATTAGGCCCCACCTCCAAAACTGGGGATCAAATCTCAATATGAGATTTAGAGCGGACAAACATACAAACTATATGTCACCATCTGATGTCATTTTTTTACAGCTTTGCTCCTACCTGTCCCCTTGTGCAGCTAGTATCAAATACATTACATGTAATTATAGATCCAATTGCACAATTACATACATACACACACATAAATGCACAAAGTATATGTGAACATATTTACATGCATATATCGTTTTCTACAATTGCTTTTAAATAAGACAGAAGAAAAAATAAGTATTTATGCTATCTTTTATAATTAGAAAATTACCTTTATCAACGCTCATTATTTTGGGGGAGTTTATTCAAATTACTGTTTGGGATGAATGACTTTCAACCTGAAGAACTTCCTTTAATAATTTTTGTAAGATAAGTCTATTAGTAACAGTATCTCTCAGTATTTGTTTATCTGGGAGTTCATTTTGTCTTTGGTTTTAACTTCTATTTTCTTGGATATGATATTCTTGGTTGACAATTTTTGTTTTTGTTTATTTTTACTGCTTTGAATATGCCATCTTAGATACCTTTTTCAGGCTTAGAAAATTGTTTTCTATTCTGTTTGCTGAAAGGTGCCTCAAAATTCGTTTTTATTTTCTAATATATTTGTTATATATGGGTTCCTCATTCCTTTCTGTAAAACTTTTTTTTTATCTGGTATAATTCTCACTCAGAAGAAACTTATAGCATTTCTAATTGTTCAGGTTGTTAGACTCAAAGTTCTTTACATTTTTTCTATCAGAAAATGTCTTTAATTTCATCTTTATGTGATATTTCCAAATTGCTTTTCATTTTACTTGGAACACTTTAAAAATATTGTTCTTTTGCCTTTTATCTCCATTGTTTCTAATGAGAAGTCAGTAATTGCCTTAATCATAATTCCCTGTACTTGATATGTCCCTTTTCTGTGACTGCTTCAAGATTTCTTTTGTATTTGCTTTTCAGCTTGATAAAATGCATTTATCCTAACGGAGCTTCACTAGCTTGACTTCTGGTATCTTTGAGTTGATATTTTCTTCAACTGGAAAATTCTTAGCCATTCATTACCCCTTCAGACATTTCCTCTGCTCTACTCTCTCTCTCTTCTTGGTCTCTCTTGACTTGTATGTTAGATTGTTTGATGGTATTCTACAGATAATGGACACTCTGTGTGTGTGTGTGTGTGTGTGTGTGTGTATTTGCTTCTGTTTAGATAATGGCTAATTACCTCTCACTTTTATAATTTATTCTGCTAGATTCAGTCTGTGAATAATCCCATTAAAATACTTTTGACCTACTGCTTTATTGTGTACAGGAATTTTTATTTCTAGCATTTGGCTGCTTTTAATATTGTTCACATAGTACTCCATGGGAATTTCATATTTGTTTATACAAGTTGTGCATATTTTTCACTTCACATTTTCACTTATAGTTTTGCTAAAACCCATCAGATGATTTAAACATCTGGGCCATACTTAAGTCTAGCTCCGTTAACCTTTTTTTTCTTTATTGATAATGGGTCACATTTTTTGTTTATTCATGTGTCTGATAACATTTTGCTCAATTCCAAACATTGTGTATAGAGGAACAGTGATTACTAGAGTAAATATTAATTGATGTCTGGGAAAGTGCATGTCATTATTTTAGGGACTGAGTCAATCAAATTTGTAGTTGAGATGATGTGAGCATTGTTGTTAGATTTTAATATAGCCTTCAAGTGATTTGAGTATAAGATCAGACCTTCCTACATATCTGAGTATCTGGAGGTTTTCTTGTCCTGCTATCAGAATTCAGTAGGCTCTCCTACCTTGGACCCAACAAAGGGTTCTTTCAGCTCTCCTGCTTCTGCCCAGATAGCTGCTGTCTGATAATCAGTCTAAAGCCCAGAGTGCTTGGGCTTCAACAGGTCCAAAGCACCTGTCCCTCACAGAGGAAGCACATCTCTCTCAGCACTCCTGCCCTTATCTCATGTCTGTGGTATCTGTGCCCCAGAGGGAAGTTCTCTTTTTTTTCTTTTTTACACTTGTGCTCTGTCCCAAAACTTTCTTGAGTATACATGATGAAGGCCTATGAAAAAGGATTGCCAAATTATTATAGATTCTCCTTGTTCTTTGATCTGATCATCCAGTAATTTTAAACAGCCATATCAGCCTATACTTTGTCTT